CTTTCCATGGCTCTTTGTGCCACTCGTAGCTTTTCTGTCAATTGTGAAGTTAGTGTCCATGCTTCACCTGAGAAGTTCTAAAAATTGAAGTTTCACCTTTGGAAAGTGAATGGTTTTTATTTATATATTTTTTAAAAATTGTACAAGAAAGGCTGCTGCATAACAAAACTTTGCAGTCCAATTTTTTTACTTGGAATTATGATTAATTGAACCCTAAAATAGGCAGGTCTCTGTGTTCTTCCAGATATGTCTCTCACTGTTGTCACCTGCACCCTCTTTCTACACTTTAACCAGTACAAAAACCCTTTATCCTTTGCAGGTGGAAAAGGATCGGTTAAATTCCACCAAGAGACTGTTAGGAAAAACTGTTTCTAAAAGCCTCCCTGTGTTAGATATGGAGGAATGCGGTAAGTGCGAATGAAGAATTTCTGTTACCAGGATGATTGTTTATACTGAGAATGAAAATTAAGGTTTCATAAATGCAAGGAAGACTCTCAGAATTTCATTCCCAACTAACCTCTCTTCACAGACATTGCTTCATTGTCCTGATGATGCATAAGGAGGGGCAATTGTGATCATGCTTTCAAATCAGCTAGTTTTAGTCCCTCAAGAGAAATTGTATTTTTGTCTTCATATTACTTTCATTATTAAGGTTTTAACAATGTCCTTATGGGGAAAAGTGGATTGAATGTGTGGTGTGCTTCCAAACAGCCTACAGGCTTGGAAAGTTTGCATCTTTAAACTGAGGTTGTGTTTGCTGCAGGGGACATTCAACTTTCATTTTTGAATGTAATCATGGGATATGGAGGTCATGGCAGTTGGATAAAAATAACATCCTTGTGTTATTGTGTTACTTTATACTTACTAATATTACTATTTTAAATGTATTCTGTTCTATTATGTTTATTAGGCTTTCAAGGCTTTCTTGGGAAGGAAGGGTGGGAGGTTGGTTGAACTTTGTCACCATGGGATGGGCAGGGTCAAAGGAATTGTGGTTCTTCTTGGCAAGACAAACCTTCCTGTCCTCGATGTCCATAAAAATAGATTATAATGGAGCACTACTTCTGCTGCCATCAGCAGGAGTTTCAGAGTTTGGCTGATCGCCTGCTGCTTCCTTCTCATTATCAGCTGCTGTCTCAGGGAGCTGTTCCCTCTGCCTGCCCCCTTCAGTACCATGGGAGCCCAGCCTTGGTGTCACTAATTTCCCAAGAAAGACTACCAAGAAGCAGCCCAGAACAGAACACACAGCCACATGCGTGCTGCAGAGGAGATGCAGTGATGGGAATCCAGAGTACTTTCTTGTGAGGAGAGCCAGCTCAGGTAACCAGCTGAAGAAGAAATTAAGGAAGGCTAAGCATTGTCAACTAATGTTTACATCTCCAGCTCTAGTTCTGTAGCAGTTATAGAAATTTGGATCTTAATTTTTAAGTATTTTTTTGTCTAATTATTTTAAAAAGAAGAAATTACCAGGAAGGATTGTTTCTCTGAAAATTTTTAGGGGCTCTTCTTAGGATAAAGAAGCCAATTTTACTTTGGTAACTTAGAATAAGAAACTACAAATATGTGAGCATCTATAGGTCTGAACCAAGACCCAGTTTGGTTGTGTGTCCATTCCAGATACTATCCAGTGATGTGGGCCCAACATCTGGGCCCAACATCTTTTGATTAATGTCATGTTTTTCCACTCTTATTGAAAACACATTTGAATAATAAAGTTTATTGAATTCCTTTATCTATGTGAGGGAAAGACTGCTTTTAACAGAGAATACTCATTCCTTACATAGTTACTATAGAAATAATGTTTTAGTTGAAAGCGTGCAGCATTTCAGTAGCTTTTTTTTAAAAGCAGAGTTTAAATTCACACATGTAACCATTGTGTTATATTAAATTGCACTGATTAGACATTTTCTTGTAGGTCTGCTAGCTGGACTGTGGGAGTTTCCTAGCATCCTCCTTGAACAAGGGCAGGAAAAGCAACAGAAAGTGATTCTGACAGATCACCTCCTCGCCTCGCTTGGCAATGACTTGGCAGTGAGGCAACTACAGTATGTTGGAGAGGTAAATTGGATCCCAGATAGGAATTGGCAATGCTTTTATAATCAGCCATTGTTAGCCAGTCTTCCAACAAGTTTGTCCTATGTTTTTGCTCTGTTTTGGATCTTCAGCCCAGTTCACTTTGGGGCAGCATTAGAAGTTCTATTGCTATTTACAGTTATAGTAAAGTTTTAGAGTAGAGTAGATGCATGGAACCAAGATGAGTGTACTACATTTGGGAAATGATTGTTGGATATTAAAATTAGCGAAGGTTGCAACCAGATAGCTACATAGAAATGAAATTGGTTCCCCCAGAAATGTGAGCAGCAGAATTAATCAGTTTATTGTCTTACTAAGACTTTTAAAACTTGCAAGGTTACAAAAATATTGATCTTAATATAAATTTTAGCCTTATCCAAATCGTTATAAAGTATGGTTCCATGCAGCAAAATATTTTTTTTCATATCTTTGCTCCTAAATCCAGATATGTCCCTGCAGCTCCTTGTCTCAAAGCAGGGAAGACTAAAGATTACAAAAGAGAACTCCAAGGATTCCTCGCCTTAGGGCATTTAGTTTCTATCTGTACCATTCAGTGTCTTCCTTCTGCCCATCATAATATTGAGTTACAGGATCCATCCACATATCCACATATCACTGCTTCCCCAGGTTCTCCATATCTTCTCCCATATCCGCCAAACATACCTGATCTATTTTTTGAATGTGGACAAAGATGAGGAAAATTGGAATAAGAATGTGGAACTGCCAGCATCCCGATGGGTGACTAAAGCAGAATTTCAGATATCAGCCATCTCCACAGCTATGAAAAAGGTACGGAAAATCTGAAGTTTAAACACTTTCATAGTGGGCTTTTTTACATTTCTCTAAAAAGTTGTATGTGAGGAATCAATATGTAGATAAATGTGTTATATTTGTATTTTGCCTTTCCGGTAGGAATACATAACAATTTACATAGCAGTCCATTTTCTTCTATCCCAGCTTCCTCCTGATTAGCCTGGAGACATCCAGTGGGATTTGTGACAAGAGGGTAGACTTAAAAATTGCAGTTGTTTCATTTCATATGAATACCATTTGCTTCATTGTTCAGACAATGTGCATCCAAAGAATGTTAATAGAAGACTTCAGTGCAGACAAGCCATCCTGTCTCCCCACCTCTCTGTGGAATTAGAACCAACTCTATGCAGACACTCAGCCTGTCAGTGTAACAACTTGGGGCCTCATAGATGTCTCTTAAGTTCTGCAGTAGAATTGATAAGTTCGTGTGTAGCTATGTCAAAATTTCTCATCATTGATACATTTGCAAACTTTTACCGACTGATTTCTGAATATATTCATGCACAATATATGAGCATCTACAAAATGGAACCAGATGTACTGGTTTCCTGAGAACAGAACTTGCTCTTAGTCCCATATCCTTTTCAGGCTTAGTATATATAGGCTGAACATTGCCACATACTTTCCACATTAAAAATGCCCCTAGAATTACTTGAGTATATAGTTTCTGTGTTCTTTTTCAGGTCTTCAACGTTTATGAAAAATGGAGCTGTAGAATGAACAATGCCCAGGTGAGTTTAATCTTTTGATAGAACCAAGCAGCTTTTGCTCATGCCTTGTTTTGCTTCCTATTACTAGTCTCTTGCTTCTTTTTAAAGTAAGTCCCCAAATTCGTCAGTGATTAACTTGTGATTGACCAAGGTACTAATCACAGTAGTGCTTAAAGCAGGAATCCCCGACCCCTGGCCTGGGCCCATTTGGAACCCAGCAGCTGACACTTGCAGCCCCACTTGTGTTCACGGCAGGCACCGGCACTCGCAGCCCCACACATGCTCGTGGCTCACACAAATGAAGCCGTGCACGTATATACACATGCCTTCCCCTCACACAAAACCATCCCCCTTTCTCCCCCACCCACCCCAGCCGCCAACCCAGAAAGGTTGGGGAACGCTGGCTTTCAGTAGCAAGTGGGAAAGAATGAAATAGGTGACTGTTTGCAGGGTCTTCTCTGTTAAATCTTTACCTGTGTATCATTGTACAGATTGTGAAGAAGAAGAAGAAGAAACAAGACTCTCTCAGGACCAGCCAATTAAAGCCTGAAGAACAGAGTGGTTCTTCCAAGAAGCTGCTTTCTTTGCATTCATTTTTTAGAACTGGTCTCAATAGCTGACTCTTCAGGAGCAGAATAGAAAAAAAAACATGAAGATTTGTTTTTCTTTACACTTCCGATATTCTTGTAAAGTATTTTGAAATCTTGCAATCATCTTTTGAAGGTCCTCTAGCCATGAAGTGAGATGTGTCTGCCCATTATGGGTTGAGTGAAATACTGAAGCATAATGCTTCAATGCGAAAAAGATCCTGTTGTAATTTGATTACCTACTCATTTGCTAAATGTCTTATTAAATAAGCACTGCTTTTAACATTGCATGCCCAACCACAGTTTCAGTTGCAACTATAGTTGTGCCAAAGAAAGATACCAACAGCAGTTGTTTTGTGATATGGCACATTGAAAGAAGCGTGGCAAAAGCAGGATAAGGGTGTTCTTTAGAGCCAGTTTCTTTTGGGAACAGATAACTGAATAATCATTGTTTGCCTACATGCTACTATTGTACTGCATTCCATTTTCCTATATGATCAGCTATTTTAATGCTTGAAATGTCTTGTTTTATAACTGTGGTTTCACTAATAAAACTTCAATTGTTGTTTTTTTTTAAAAAGTAGCGTGCTTCCATTTTTAACGTTTCCCAAAACTTATTAAATTTGTGAGAGTGGTGTTGAAAAGTGAGTTGATCTTAAATCAAGATAGAGTGTACAGAGTTATAAACCTTTCTGTATTTTAAGGGGATTTGTTTCACTTGTTTTAGCAAAGAGAAATATGACTATGCTATCCAAGGCAATATATTCAAGAACATCCAACAAATAGAACTATATTTGGACAAGAAATAAGTATGGTAGATATTTCTGAACAGGAAAACATACAGAGAGAACAGTTACCACTTCATACCACTTTCATTAACATTCAGTAGCATTCAATAACAGCAAGTGGATGTGACCAATGCTTCATTGATAGGAGTAACCACTAAGTTAATTAAACCATGGCTACTTTCCAGTAGTAATATCTAAATAAATGAACTGAATAAATCTCTTCATATTCAATGGATTCTGAAATAAGAGCCCGTCTACAGAACTATTGAGTCAAGTTTGGACATATATTAAGATTTATTAGCAATACGTTTTGAGAATCACAACATTTATTCACAGTTTTTTGCATTAGATAAAAATTAAGTCAGGTTCTTTTCACTTTTTAGGAGTGTAAATAGCATAATAGCTACATTCCATCTGTATATAAATGCTTGGATCTATACTAAAGATTCCCTGTGGTTCCATGTTCTGATAGCTAAAAAGATGTTCTGATTCATGTATGAGTGGCTAACAGATACCCTTGCCTCCTGTTTGTCCAGTTAACACCAAATTTGGAGGATGCAATTAGTTAAGAACAGAGAGAACTGATTTTCTTCCAATAGTAAAGAATATGTAGTCCAAAGTTTGTTCTTGGTGGCTTCAGAGCTTGCTTTTCATTGAGACTTTTTCTTACCTAACTTGGTAACTTTCTTCACTAAGAGTATTGTAGCTAAGTAATAGGAATCTTGCACCTTTTCAGATTTGAACTCCATGATCCCAAAGACTGTGGGGCTTCTGCAGATAGCAGTCACTTATTCTAATAGAGCATTTCTCTCTTCCTAGGGAAAGCATAACTGCCATTCCCTCAGGCCTTTGTACTTTGTTAAAGAAAAATCAATTACCAATTCAGTAGTTCAACTAGCAAGGCAAAAACCTACATGCTTTCAAGTGTGGTTGTTGTCACAACATTGCCATGGTCAGGTCATGGGTTCTAATTAGATGATCTTCCGGGTCACTTGGAAACTCTTTAATCCAAACCAGTGCTGACCGTGCAAAATGCAAGTACATATTTGAAACAAATCAGTCCACCAAGCTTTCTTCTAACACGGACAATAATCCTACATTAACAAATCTGAGGCGGCAGCACTGTATTATTTAGTTATAATTTATTTATCAAATTTATTTGCCACCCACTTCCCAGTTCAAGGAGCCTCTGAGCAGAACATAATGAACATGCTGTCAGGTTTCACTCTTGAGTAGAGTGGGCCTTTGCTGTTGATCCATATAATCCTGTACCGACTTCCAAAGAGCACGGACATTTCCCTCACCAAAACCTGCAGCCCCACGGCGCTCAATGAGTTCTATGAAGAAGGTCTCTTCTGTAAAAAGAGGTTTGGTGAAGATCTGCATCAGGTATTGCTCCTTGAGCAGGCTAGGGCTAGTGTCCTGTCCTTGGTCATCTACTGCCGCATCAAGGAGGATGCCGTAGTCTTTCAGGAGCTGAAGATCTTGCCCAACTTGCTGTATCTCCTCCTCTTTGCTTTTCTCATAGTAATATGATACGGGTGGTTTGAAAAAGCCGACTCCTGACTTTGCCATGGCTGCAGCAGCACTTACAATGTCTGTGGTATAAAGGGCCACATGCTGGATGCCGGCACCTTCATGCTGCTGTAAGAAAGTGTCCACCTGGCCCATCCTTTGCCTTGGCAGTGACTCAGCCAGGACAAATTTACAGTCGGGCTTAAAGGGTGACAGGCGATCAACACTGTATTGCATGGCAGTAAGACGAAGGCCCATGTCTTCCCCTTGGATTCGAAAGCCTTCTTCAGCATCATCTTGATGGTGGATGAAGAAGCGCTGGAAACCAAAACAGTTTTTGTACCAGTCCAGCACAGCTTGTGAGCTACCTTGTGGACAGGCATAGGTGATGTGGTCAAAATATATGGTCTCCTTCTCCTTGGGGGCAACTTCAACTTCACAGAAACCAGGCAAGAATGGCCCACCATACTGGGATCGATCAAGAAGAGTATGGCTAACATTGCCCACAATGGACCGCACTACAGAGTAAGTAACAAAGCCATTTTCATCTGCTTCAGTGGTGGGAGGAATAAGGATCTTGCAGCCTTTCTCTTGTAGGTTTCGGGAGATTCCAGGGACATCCTCTACCTCAAAGCAAATATTGGAAGCTGTGCTGACTCTGTACTGCAGGTTCACATCATACAGGATCCCTTTATGCTTACAGCAGTCTGAAGGTAAATCTGAAGGTGAAAAGTTTTTCTCAATCAGCTCCCGCTCTTCATTGACAATAAAAATAGCATCTCCTCTTCGGAAAGCCTGCTGCCTCTTCCTCTCTGCTTCCCGTATAGCAAACAGCTCAAAGCCAAACCTTTGCACCAGGTGACTGGCCAGCTGTTGGCCCTGAAGAACATGGAATCCAATGTAACACAACCGCTTCGGAAGAGCAGACATTATGAAATTTGTAGCTGCTTAGTTGCAACACATCCTTTTGCTATTAAATCTACAAAAGAAAAAGTCCAGATCAGTATCTTTAAGATAGGATAGACCAGAATTTAATCGTAACTGGGCCTTGTTCTATCGCACCAATAAAAGCCACCCTGATTTCATAGGGAGAGGCAGTTTGGTGTAGTGGTCTAGAAACAAAGCCTAGAAACCAAGAAGCAAAAGTTCTAGTCCCACTTCGGCACAAAGCCAACCGATTAACCAATCCTACTCTCTCAGCCCTAGAATCAGACCATGGCAAACTACTTCCAATTAACCTTGCCAAGAAAACTGTCAGAACTTGTCCAGGCAATTCTGTCCTGCCAAAATCCGCAATTCACTTCCCATTCTTTAAGATGCAGCTACAGTACATTCTGTTTTTAAACACAATAAATAATACATATCAGAGGTAGTATTCAGCAAGTTCTGACCAGTTCTGGAGAACTGGTAGCGGAAATTTTGAGTAGTTCAGAGAACCAGCAAATACCACCTCTGAATGGAGATTTATTTGTATCCTTCCCCTGCCACGCCCACCAAGCCATGCCCACAGAACCAGTAGTAAAAAAAACTGAATCCCACCACTGATACATATGTCTTAAATTCCTTTGGCTCACTTTGTAGTCCTATCCCAGAATATTCCCACTCAGAAAAAGGAGAGGAACAGGACATTCAGAGATAACAGAATGCACAATTGGTGAAACATACAAGCAGCAAAACTATCACAGCAACTATAAGAAAGTGTCTTGGCTCCTGCTGTATGGACATTTACACCACTCAGGCCCACCCCCAAGCAGCCAAAGAAATTCAAAAGCACAGAGCTACACTCATTGTTGTCACAACTACCTGGGCAGTTATTAAAAAAAGAGAGCTTCCAAGCGTATGCACAGAAGTCTTTCAACAAAGCCACCTGCCACTTTTTCAGTACAATGATATGGTGCATTTTTATATATGTCAATATAGAAGCATAGATATTATGATGTATAGTTTATCCTTTTTAAAAGTACATTTTGCCATGGATCCCGTCAAGAAGGAACATAACAATCAACCATGGATGCCGGCTTTACAAGAAAGGGGGACTTTGAACAATAGGAAAGCAAAGACTTCTATAGACGTTGGGGGCAACAAGAAAGGAAATCCTAGGTCCTTATCAGAGTAATTGGGATTAGTTCTATTATTAGGCAAAGGAAAAGGGGATATTCAGGTCATCAAGTGATAGAGGATGAAAAGTTACAATTTTGCCAATTTTTTTGCTAAGGCTGCCCTTGGACTGTGCTGCCAGCTGGTGAGGAGGCTTCTATGGAATTAGGCAAATAGATGAAACCAGTTTGGTCCTGGTCTCTTCTAAAAGACAGGGAGGAAAAGAATGTAACCTCCATTCTACTTGCTAGGTTCATTTCATTTCTACATTACTATTTTGAGCTATCCTTCAACCTTATTTCACATTTGTATAGAAGCGTTGGAACCATTTTATTGATCCCAACTGAGGGTTTTTCCATAAGACGATGTTGCACCCCTCCAGAATCAGTCAGAGCCACTATGTGCTATGTATCTTTAAAGCAAATATTGGAAGCTACTCTGACTCTGTAGCATAGATTCACATCTTACAGGATGCCTTTATGCAGCTCAGAGCTATGCAATCCTAATGCCCTCATTATGTTCTGTGGCTGAGCCAAATGATTTCTTTTTCTGATGCATTTCTTTGAAATTGTACTAAAGACAATCCTCCAGATTGAAATGCTGAAACTGTAGTGTTTGAGGGCCAGATGGTTGATTTGTAAGTTCCTCACATCATCTCACCTCCTGAGCTTTAGACTCATTGAGACACTGGTCTTTCACGGCTACCTTCTTTGCCTTTGCAGCTTCCTCTCCTACAGTTACACTTTCTTCAGATACAACATGAACCAAAAACGTAGACTATAGTGGGGGCTTGTAGTGATTTTGGTGATAATGAAGAATACCACAGTCAACTTCAAGCAACTCTCCAGGAAGTGGGCAGTGATGCGTGGCTCTGTCCCTGCCACGGGGCAATAAAATGGTCATTTTTGTCAGAGTATTCCGACTAGCAAACAATAATTCTGCAGGATTCATTTATAAAAGAAACTTCTTCATATACATACCAATACAGAAGAAGTCAGCATACAAATTCAGGAACACAGAAGCAATATTCACAGAAGCAAGTCATTACAGAGTAGAGATATACAGAGGGCCAATATTTCAGAGGGAAATCACCTCTTATATACAGTTCAGCAAATCAAAGCCACGCCCGGACACCTAACTGTCTCTTATAGCCCCATACAAACAAATACTGCGTTTCAGTTTCCAATCAGTCCCCATTGGCTGACCTGTTACTATGTCTATTCCAGCTCATAAATTACTTACATGCTGACAATTTTAAATATTACTTTTATTTGATCATATTACTTGGTGTTGGTTTACTTTTTGTAGAGTTACTATTTCTTTGACTGTTTGAGGAAAACAGATTCTGGGCTTACTTACAAGTAAAAAATAGATGCAAACTGCTCCTTTAAAAGGGAGACTTTTCTGGACAGACATGTTGCCTTTCAAGTTGCTTAGATCGAATGATCAGTAGAAAAGATGAAAGACTAAAATACGTTGCATTTTAAAATACTTCCGATACCTGCTACTTTTTACCTTTAAAAATAAAACACGTTTTCTCAAAACAAGAAGTTGCAAAAAGAGAGAGAGAGAGAGAGAGTGTTTCCCCCCTCCGCAATAAATCTAAGACGCATGCTTTATCCAAACTATTCCACTCCCAACTCCCCATTCTCAGTCGAAAAAAAGGGATTGCTTTTTAAAAAATTTACTCGTCTTCTTTTTACCCGGCAGCGTAATTATTTCCTCTTTTGGTGCCGCTTCCCCATCGGGCGCCCGTGCCACGTGCTGACTCCATCTGCTGCCGCCCGGCAGAGATTCTCTGCGTCCCTTCCACTCCCTCGCCTCTCACCTGATTTGAACTCCTTATTTCTCCAGTCCTGTTATTATTCTCTCTCCTTCCATCCGGGAATGAATTTATAACAGCGGCGGTGGTGGAAGAACACGGCAAAACACCAACTTTTTCACGACCTTGACTTTAAAAGTAGCAGCTCCGCAGCACGGAAGCGGAAGATGTTCGAGGACAAAGGCAGTTGCGCTGCATTTTACAGGATTTGGATAATCCAGGGCTACCCCGAGCCTTGCATCTAAGCTTCCCCCCCCCCCTTACCTCACACAGCACCTCATGGTTGTAGAGTTGTAATTGCAGGAATGTTCCAATCTTCAGGAATCATTGTATAACCATTTTTATGACATTTATTCAGGTGAAGAAGGGGGACAAATGACAGCATTAGTATAACGTGAAAGTGGAGGTGTTAAAAGAGAAAGATCATTGTGACCAAATTTTTCAATTGCATGCCTACATAAATGCCACACGTGCAAAACTTCTATTTTTGCTCGAGGTTCAGTATGCAATGTTTTCCCTATACGTTCCCAATCAGTTAATTTTAAAGACCCCTTTTCTGGGTACCATAGGCACTGAGCTGCAATCTCCTGGACCAGCCTTAAGAGATTTCTCTGTGATACCTCAGTATTATTTTTCTTCAACAAATAGCCTAATTTATCTACATGCTTCCTTTGTTCCTCACAAAGCGAAGACCCCATACTTACAGAAACCAAAGGTTGAAGAAACCACAAAGGGTTGAAGGTGCACCAAATCCTTGCCGGACGAAGTAAGAGGGTCCCTGTTCATGCACCACTTGTAATGATGAGGCAGTCAAGTTGTTTGATCATGAACAACTGAATCAGGATGATCTTTATTGGAGTCTAGTCTTGCATTTATATACATTTTTAGTTATCATCCATCATTGGTTAGCTTTGGTTACTGCTTAACTTTCGTTACTGTTTAGCACAGTAATACAATTAATTATCTCTAGTTAAAGTCTAACGTATGTTTACTTCCTCTCTCTAATCCTCCTTTAGATTAGTTAGATTAGTTAGATTAGATTACTTTGTTTACCTGAGTTGTATTTGCTTGGAAACATTCTTTATCTGAGGTTTGCCATCTGAGATTGGAACATTCCTGCAATTACAACTCTACACATGCTGTCTTTCTGTTTTCCAATTGAAATTGGAAAGAAAACATGAGGCGCTGTGTGAGGTAAGGCAGACAGCTGCTCTCTCTTCGAAGAGGCTTGTACTTTTTAAACTTGTCAATTAACTTTAAAAGACAGCTGTCTGTATTCCTCTAGGGGTTTAGGTCTCGGACAAGGAAAGGAATGATGAACGTCGACGGCTGCCTGATCTCGACTGCAGAAAGCCCATGGTTACTAGATGGCAGCAAAGAGAGGTTTTGGTACTCTTGTTACCATCTAGTGGCCATTCTCATGATCTGCACCTGAATACCAGCAATAGCACTTAACACTTGTTTATATACTGCTTCCCAGTGCTTTACAGCCATGGCATTCAGCAGGTTCTGACCAGTTCTGAAGAACCCGTAGCAGACATTTTGAGTAGTTCAGAGAACCAGCAAATATCTTCTCTGACTGGAGATTTTACAGTATCCTTCAAACTGCATACAGTCAGCAAAAGTAGCCTATAGTACTGCATTCTAACCATTGTGCTACCACAGCTCGTATTATGAATCCTAATACAGTTAATCCTGGATTTCCAACCATTCATTTAGCAGCTGTTCAAAGCTACAGCAGCATTGAAAAGAATGACTTATGACCAGTCCTCACCCAACAGTCACAACATCCCCACAGTAGTGTGAACAAAATTAAGAGTGCTTGGCAACCAGTATTTATTTAGATAATTGCAGTGACATTATTGTCATTTGTGATCTTCTCAGCTTCTGACAAGCAGTCAATGGGGAAAGGTGAATTTGCTTAATAATCCCATGATTCACTTAATCAATTGACTTGCTTAGCAATGGAAATTCTGCTTCCAGTTGTGGTTATAAATTGAGGGCTACCTGTAACTTTAATTTCAAAATATTTTACTGGTAAACTTGCTAGAGCAAGGCAGAAGCAGGAAACAATGAAAATCAGATATCTGGTTGTATTTCTGAACTGCATAGATAAAAGGAAGGTCAGAAATGCTTTTTGTGTGCACAGACCTCACATCCTAGTCCTAAAGTATTACATTTTAAAGTATAGGTACCACTTATTTTGGGTGTTAAGAAAAATCACTGAATGTGTTTTGGGGCATTAGCACTATTACTTCACAAATAAATCTATGAGCTTGTTCCTTTAAGAGCAGATGCTACTGCTTTCTTGCATAAGTCTCTAGATTATGAGATTTGGTGGTAACATCATTCTGACCCCCTAATCTCCTTTAAGCATTTATCTTTAAAGGCACGTTTGGGTCTGTTGTTGCTTAATACATTTCACTCATTATTGCTTTTGACTCTTTTTACAGCAAACACTTTCTAGATAATGGGATGCCGGCAATGAGTATTTTATCTGCAGATGAGAGACCCTAGCATACACTGAATGGAGTGAGCACACTTGGAGAAAAGTTGAGCTGTGATTAAAGATGTTCCCAAAGTTGAATTTTCAACAACCAGAGTCAATGTGAAAGCCATCCGAAGGTTGGGACACTGCAATTGCACAGGATTTGCCTAATGATGACAACTGGGACTGCCAGAAGTGCCATCGTAAGTTGCCATCGTCCAATGACATTGCTCCTTAAACTGTGCTGTTTAGTGATGGACTTCCCAATCCCAATTACTGGTGGTGAGGACTTTATTTATTTAAAAGCTTCAATTGACTGAAGCCAGGACAAGTTACAGAAGTCAGTATCTAAGAGCTCCAATACAAGGACCATAAAACAAATATTTCTTCAATGGCTGTATTCACATGATAATATTCCTCTAGCACTATACATTATTTCAACCATGTTAAAATGATTCAGAATGACATACTTTGGGATTTAAACAAGTATATTAAAGATCTATACATTCATTTTATTTGATTTGTACATTACTGTTCTTCAGTTGAATAGTACCCTAAAATAAAATAACTGACTTTCAAGGCCAATTTGGCATGTTTCTCTGCACCAACTAGACATCTTTGGACTAGAATCACATGCTGCACTAAACCACAAAGCATTGATTACTGACTCTAATGGGCTTACATAGTATGCTCTGCCAAAATGAAACAAATATGTGAGTATTTCATAGACTCTAGTTTTAGTAGATTTTCAGTATCAAGCCACACTCAGAGTATTAAAATATTACTTTGTAGGATGGTGCCTAGTAGAGGGTCATTTCAATTTACTATGAAAATGAATAGTAAATGTACCAGCTTAGATAGCACAAGCAAATATTCAGTATCTGTTTCCCAGATTTGGCCAGATTGGGTGCTTCTGAAAAACTGAAGCACGTTCTGAAGCATGGTATGAAGACAATAGTGTCTATTGCTTTGGGACTTAGCAAACTGATTTTATTTATTAGACATATTTGTGTGCTGATGTAATCTCACTCCTCAGAAACCAAAATAAAAATACATCACTAGTACAAGAACAGGAAGAAGATAAAAGGTAGCAACTCCTCAAATCAGGAAAAGTCTCTCCAAGGAAGCTCAATCTTTAGGAACTAGTAGAAACCTAACAAAGAGAAAACAGCCAGATCTTCACAAGGAAGCATAATTTCTTTATGCCTAGGTGAGGCTGTTTTGGCTCCAAAGGAGCTACACTATTTCTTCATTATTAGAAATAGATGGAATTATATCCTGCAATTATAGGATTTTAGAATTATTCAGTATTCCATCTGCCTCTCCAAATGTTTCAGAGGAAACAAGAACTTGGAATGCAAGGGAAGGGACTTTTTATTGATTCGTTTTAGAGTTACCCTCTGGTAAGATGGGTGGCCAATAAATGTCATAATAAAAAATAAGTTTCCCTGTCCTACAGATTTCAGGCAAGGTTATTTTTATACTTGCACCTGAAATTGTTAACCTGACAGTTTGTCTGCTAGACAAACTGCCTTTTCTGAAACATTTATAACAAGTGCCTCCTTTGCTTCATAATGAGGCTGGTTAACATATCTTAGCATTTTTCTTCATATATCGTAAAATATTAGGAAATAGTTGCTACCCTCCTTCAAAGCTATATTTTCTTACATACAGTGCCTGGTGCTGCACAGTATTTCTTTCACTTCTGTATGTGATGAATGTGAGAGAAAAAAAGAAGTGCAGTTGGGAGGCTGGCAATGATAAGTACAAAGCGTAATCCTATAAATATCTCCAGGGATACGCCTGTATTTGGCTCTTCCCCAGCTATCTTTCTCCCAACCCCTTCTGGGTGGAGAGATCTGGAATGAAAATTAACTTACACCAGGGGTCAGTGCAGAGTTGGGAGGTTGGATCCATCAGAGCAACACCAGGAGAGTCCCAGGTTTCTCAGTGGACGGAGCAGAACAACGGCAAGATTCACAAGAGAAAAGGTAGTCTATGACCTTGTTTGGAAGAAGTGGAATTTAATTTGGTTCACCGAGAAATATTACCACTATGAATATGAGGGAGGGAGGAGGACATAAATGAAGAAGTAAAAAAGCACAATTGTTTCCTAGTCAGCTTCTTGATTTGCTCCTGAAGGGCACAACTTTGATACCACATTACTTTCCATTAGATTGTCTATAGAGATTCTCAATCATCCAGGTTATGGTTATCCCAAAGATGCTTTTCCAAAAAAAAAAAAAAAAAGCAACTGGGCTTTGTTAGTTTCTTGGCTTCACGGATCAAAAGCGAAACGTTTTCAAGAGGGGGGAAAAAAACTAAGAAAGTCCAGTTGCTTTTTGTAAAGCATCTTTGGGATTTCCATCAGACTGGCCTCAATGGTTAAGAGTGTAACGGGTTTTGAGTCCTGCAGCAGGAAGGCATAATAAGTTTTTCCATACGTATTTTCTGAGCATGGCATCCTACCCTTCTCTACTATTACTGGATTATTTTCTTGAGTGCAGGAAGAGAGAAAAGAGCATGTTTGAAGGGAATGTTGGGCCAATGATGCAGACAGATTGTATAGTGCCAGGTAGGTGGGGAAAGGAAAACTGTGTAAATAGTTACTGGGTATGTCAACATTGTTGTTTGTAATAAAGCTGCAGATAGTGTTCCAGACATTATGTCTGG